TTTTTTTGGTTTTTCTCCGGTACCGGGAACCGAACTCACAACCTTGCGCTTGCCAGGCAGGCGCTTTTGCCGCTGAGCTAAATCCCCAGCCTCTTGGCTGTTTATTGTTCCACAGTAATGTGGGTGTGCAGGTGTCCCTATAGTATGCGAACTGTAATTCCTTCAGGTATACACCAAGGAGTGGTAGAGCTGGATCAGAGGTAGTTCTGTTTTCCATTGCTTTGAGTCCATACTGACTTCCATGCTGGGCTTTCCTAATTTACATCCCCACCAGCGGTGCACAGGGCTGCTCTCTCCCGACCCCTGACTTACTTGCCAGCATTCACTGTTTTCTCTATTCTTGATGACAGCCATTCTGACTGGGGCAAAATGGAATCTCAGTGTAATTTTGATTGTATTTTCTTCATGGGTAAAGACACTGAATCTTTTTTCCTACACGTATTGATCATTTGTACTTCTTTCAATTTTTTGCATGTTTATAGACTGAGCTGTTTGATTTTTTAGTGTGGAGTTCTAGATACTAATCCTTTGTCAGAAGCATGGCTGGCAAAGTTTTTCTTCCATTCGGTTGGCTGTTCACTCTGTTAGCTGTTCCCTTTGCTGTCCAGAAACTTCTTAATTTGAGGTAGACCCAGCTGTTTCTTGCTATTATTATTTTCTGTGCTATTGCAGATCATTCAGGAAGCCTTTGCCTATGCCAAGGACCTCAAGCAGTTCCCCTATGTATTTGTCCAGCAGTTTCAAATTTTCCAGTACTATATACCTAGTTCTTTGATCCATTTTAAATTGATTTTTATACAGGTATAAGGTAGGGATCTAGTTTCAGTTTTCTAGAGGAGAGATAGTTTCCCTGCACCATTTTTTTAAAGAGGCTGCCTTATCTCCAACATAAGTTTTGGCTCCTTTGTCAAGAACCAGATGGCTATAGTTGTGTGGGTTTCTGTGTCCTCCATTCTACTCCTTGGTCTCGGTGTCTGTATTGGTTACTTTTCTCTTGGTGCTGAGACAAAATACCTGACACTCAAAATTAAGGGAGGAAAAGTTTATTTAGCTCCCTGTTTGTGAAGGTTTCAATCCATATTCAGTTGGCTGCAAGGCAAAGTGGCACATAGCACAGGGCAACAGTTCATGGCAGCGGAACAGCAAAGCACCAAGAGCCAAAGGGAGGAGTGGCAGAGGGAAGCAGCCTCTTTCCCTCCCTTACATTGTATGCAGACTACCCACCCCAGGGCAGGTGTAGCACTCAAATCCATCATTCCAACATTGGACCATGAATCAATTGTAACTCTAGACGCCTACACTATGACTGCATAAATCTTTGGGGGAACATTCAGGCACAAACCATAACATTCCACCCTGGACCCCTAAAGACTCATACATATCCCTTTATGTAAAAGACATTTGAGTCCATCTCTAAGAGTTGCCAAAGTCCTAACAGTTTCAGCATTGCTTAAAAGTGCAAGTCCCAAATCTCCTCTGAGATGTAAGGGAAACTCTTAGCTGTGAGCCCCTGTACAAATGAAAAGTTAAACACTTCCAACGTTCAATGGCACAAAATAAACAGTACCATTCCAAAAAATACAAACAGGGGAATACAAAGCATTGAGACCAAAGCAAGTCCAAAATCCAGCAGATCAAGTCCTATAATTCCACATCCAGCATCTGAAGCAACTTGTGGCACACTGTGAACTCCAAAGGGCTTGAGTGACTCCACCTCTATGGCACTTCTGGTGGTTACAGCTCCCATGGCTTCTCTCTTAGGCCCACTTTGCTCCCTCTTTGCAGCTTTCCTTAGACAATCTACGTTCCTGGATTTTCCAAACTTCTGAGGTCTCCACAGCACTTTAGGCTTCCCACTTACAGCTTCACATGCTGCCCTCTCAGGGGCACATTGCCTGGCTAACCAGGACTTCTGAAATCTAGGGGGAAGCCTTCTTAACCTCAGAAGTCTTGCATTCTTCAAGTGCCTAAAAACAGTGCCATGTGGATGATGCCAAGGTCTGCTGCCACCTAGAGTAGCAGCCAAGCTTTCCTCCCTCTTGCCCATAGGAGTCCAGGGCCTGGATGACTGCGCAGTCTGAATCCAATTCTGAGGAACAAATTCACTATGCTGCCACCATTCTGGAACCTGGTGTGGCTGCCGCCATTCTGGAACATGGCACTCTGCAGCTTTCTTCTCAAAGCAAAGTCTTTCATCTTTGCAGTTTTGAGGCTGCAAAGGGTGGAGACTTGCTGCTTCTTGTGATGCCCTCAGACCATCTTTTATACTATTCTGTTCATTCTCAGCAATGGAGATCTCCTCAGCTTCATCTTTACAATCCACAGCTTTACTGGAGCTTCCTTTCAGGCCAAACTCACATTTTAGATCATCCTGCTGGCCCCTTTGCTCTTGATTCTCAGTGTAAATCTAGCTAAAAGCCCCCAACAATAGCCATACCACTGCCCCAACATTCTATTACCTCGAAATTTCTTTTACCAGATTAATTAGTCTACTGCCCTTAATCTCTGTCTTAGGCAAAGTCTCTGGACACAAGCAAAATGCAGACAAACTTTTTGCCAAGCTATAACATACATCATCTAGACTCTAACAACCAATGCAGTCCTTCTTCCCAGCAGAAACCTCCCACACCCTGTCTTTGCTGGCAGGACTTCTATCAGCCTTCTGTTCTTCTGAGCTCTAACCACAATCTCCCATACAGAATACCCAAAGATGTTCTAGCGCTTCTCTTTCAGGCAACATCTCCAAACCTTTCCAAACTCTTCCCACAAGCCATTTCCAAAGGCTCTTGAACCACATTGTCAGGTATAGTCACAGCAATGACCCCACTTCTCTGGTACCAAATTCAGTCTTAGTTACTTTTCTCTCATTGCTGAGACAAAATACCTGATGCCCAAAATTAAGAAAGGAAATGTTTATTTAGCTCACCGTCTGTGGAGGTTTCAGTCCATACTTGGTTGGCTGCAAGGCAGAGTGGCACATAGCACAGGGTAACAGTTCATGGCGGCGGAACAGAAAAGCACCAAGAGCCAAAGGGAGGAGTGGCAGAGGGAAGCAGCCTCTTTCCCTCCCTTACATTGTATGCAAACTACCCACCCCAGGGCAGGTGTAGCACTCACATCCATAATTCCAATACTGGACCATGAGTCAATCATAACTCTAGAAGCCTACACTATGACTGCATGAGGCTTTGGGGGAACATTCAGACACAAACCCTAATAGTGTCTTTTTTGGGGTCAGTACTATGCTGTTTTTGTACTATGGTTTTGTAGTATATTTGAAATTGTGTATTATGGTATCTCTAGCTTTATTCTTTTTTGCTTAGGATTGTTTCGGCTATTCTGGAACTTTTGTGTTTCTATATGAGTTTTAGGACTTTTTTTTCTAATCCTATGAAGAATGTCACTGGAATTTTGATAAGGATTGCCTTGAATCTGCAGATTTCTTCTGGTAATATGGCCACTTTCACAATATTAGATTCTGCTGATCCATGAACATGGGTGGTCATCCCATCTTTTAGTGACTTCTTGACTTTCTTTCTTCAGTGCTTTGAAATTTCCGGTGGAGAGGTCTTTCAGTTTCTTGGTCAGGTTGATCCATAGGTATTCTATTTTTTTGGAAACTACTGTGAATGGCATTATTTTCCTGATTTCTTTTTCAGCTAGTTCATTATTAGTGTATAGACAAGCAATAGTTTTTCAATGTTGATTTTATATCCTGTAGCCTGTGATTTTTTTTTTTGTTGTTGTTACTAGGAATTGAACTCAGGACCTCATGCTTGCCAGGCAGGTGCTGTGTAGCCTGTGACTTTTAACAGATTGCTTTTTTAACTTTCATGACATGTAAATATTTAAAACTGAAACTTATTTAAAACTTGATCTTATGAACTCATAGACACATATACAGACACTCCACACAATACACACAGCCTTTTCTTAGTATGTCACATGTAAGCTGGTCACATTTACCCTTATACAGGTTTGTATTTATTGATTGATTGATTGATTGATTGATTGTCTTTTTGAGACAGGGTTTTGCTATATAGTTCAGGCTGTCCTTGAACTCACTTTGTAGCCCAGGCTGGCCTCAAACTCACAGCAATCCTCCTGCCTCGGCCTCCCAAGTGTTGGGATTACAGAAGTGCACCACCACACCTGACATACATAGTTTAATTTCAAAGTCCTTCTTGATACCATTCTGGCAGAATTTAAAGGAAAAATTTACCAACATGTATTTTTAACTATTAAAGGAATAAACATTTGTACAAAATAGCATTGGCTATCAGTGCAACTACATGCAGTGAAGAATGTACAAAAACTATCTACATTTGTGGGACTAAAAACTTGCTGTATGAAAACAGCAAGAGTACAGTGTGTATCTCCAACTAAATTCCTATGTAATCATGCAAAGTTTCTTACATTCTCTGTATTCAGCTGATTTTTGAGGTCAAGAATTAGAAAGCAGCTATTCCAGAAAATGTTTTAAATTATCCAAGGACAGAAATAATGAGTGTTCCTAAATAATTTAATGAGGTCTTTTCAAACAGTATCTGCATTATGTTACTGATAAGCAAACAGAAAAAATCTGTCAGACGCTAGGAAGCGACAATGGAGAAGAATGAAATGACTAAAACTGCAGCTGACTGCAGCACATTTCCACTTAGCAGTTCATCACAAGGCAAAGCACACCCTCCTTACCAGTAACTGTCACACCGTCACCTGTGTGTGCTTTAGCCATTTCCTGGATGTAGACTTCTGGGCTCACATCAACCTCTTTTCCCGATAACTGTAAGGATGCTTGAAGAGAAGATGGTACCTTGACTGTTACAGAGCCTGTGATCAATTTAAAGAGTTGATTAATGCAAAGAAGCCAAAGTACCAGAGTCTATTTCAAATTTGATCAAAAAGGGCAGCGCTGCCCCTGGCACACTGTTTTCACTCCTCCTCAGCATAGTTATTCAGACAGCAGTGCCTTTGCCTTACTCCCAGGAGGCCAATTTCCTACTCTGAAGGCATCGACAGTAACTTCTTTTGAAAGTATGGGGCCATGGGACACTATGAACTCTCCTTTGGCCTGTATCCTTACCCTTCTGTTCCATACCAGGAAGGGGAGTAGTTTCCTACACATGTAGCATACAGATAGGACTTACTTTAAAATCGATATTTACTAAGTGCCAGCCACTTACTTAATCTCCATATCAATTTTATGGGGTAGTATTATAATCCCCTGCCTTGAAACATTAACCCCATCTCTGTGGACAAAGACAATCAGGGTGACATCCATGTGAATGCTGTGGATTCCTTTTAGAGTGCATTTATTTATGGGTCACAGTTGTCCTTTTAATCTGCTCAACACAGCTTAAACTGCCTTAAATAATTTTATATCTTCTCAGTATACCCAACTAAAGTTGAAAGTTTGGGTTAAGACTGATAAATTCTCGTATTTATTCCTCAGAAAATGTAAGGAACAAAGCTTTTGACTGTATCCAATTTATTCAAAAGCAGATTGTTTCCTAGGGCTCCAATGTAAATACTTGTGAAAGAGTCCCCTAACAACAGATACAGATGCTTTGGGAAAAAACAAAACAACCATGGGAAATTTCAGGATGAATAGAAGATATATGTTTTCCCATCAGAATGCTTTTAAAAGTAGAAAGCAAGGATTTAAGGAAAACAAGGATTTAAAAGAAAACATTTTTGTAGGACTTTATGTCTCTATATCAAATGTGGTAATTTTATGTATACTTTTTCCTATTCTTTCACGAATAACATACTCTTAAATCTGTGAGATCTTTAAAAATGTTATGATGTGCAAACAGCTCTATGCTCATCTTTCTCCACATCTTTAAAAACAAAAGCCACCACTACCGTAACTCTGGTTCTGTTTGTGAATGAAGACTTCTCATGCCCTGAAAGCCTCCTACTGTCTCACGTTGAACTATTTTTTTTAAAGAAATAAATGCCCTTGTTATGTCTTGAACCTATTCTCAACTTCATAAACTTCTGCATGGTTACTGACATTGACACGGCCCTCTTAAAATCTCAAAAGCAAAGTAATAGCACCACTTACTATAGGCTTACTAATAGGAAGATTAGTGATTTTCCCAGGGAAAACATGGTCAGTGGAAAAGTTGATAGTCTGAGCTGACTCCTAAGCCCCCAAACAGCTTTTCTGAATGAGTAAGCTTGCCATACGCATTTCTGCAAGAAAGAAGTCAAGGGCTGTAACTTTTTTTTCCCCACGTGGCAAAAACCTGAGAGACTCTAGTGACTGGCTCTGAATCCTGCAGCAATGCAGTGGTAGAACTAGGATGGATTCCAGAAATCTCGACAACCATTGAACAACAGAATCCCGAACAACTTCTCATTGCTCTTAAAAGTTACTGCTCCCAAGCCTAGTGAGAACTCGGAAATGAGAGCTAAGGCAGAAATCTTTGTTTCCCATTCCCTGTAAGCTGCCAGTAATGTGGTCCCAGTAGGAGAAAACACAGGAGTGTAACACTAATCAAACTTCACAACACAATATGTTGTTTCAATAATTGCTGGAACAATGTTCTAACTAGTGAGCAAACATATTTTAAATAGCTGAGTAATAACCTTCAAAAATTTTAAAGTTTTTCATTTGTTTTGTTTATTTGCCCACAACACACAAAAGGAAGTAACTTTCATATAAGAGCTGCTCGTTCAAAACGTTTTTACTGTGTTACTAGTTAATGTTTTTCTCCTTGGGTTTTCATAACAGAGTGCAATTATATGATTTATATGGCATTTACAATTTGCCCTGACAGTGTTATTGAAGCTCTTAGTTTAATGAGGACATCATAATATCCAATCTTAACATATATATGGCAGCAATAACTTTAGTTTCAGGTCTCTGTGTTTTGTAGTTCTACTTCGACACAATGACAAGAGAACCCAGAAGGATTCACGGCTACTGACTGAACAGGGGTGGGAACTTGTTAATAGCAGGAACATCACGGCTCTGTAAGGAAAGATTTGCTTCTGCTACATATATCTCTATTCTGGTTAATATGCAAGAGCTTTCAGACTTCATTTTTTAAATTTCTATTTTAAAATTTTTAATACAGAACTACAGTTTTTAACTTTCTGCACTGAAGCCACTTCAGATCCTCTGGCCAAGCTACCCTGCCCATGTCACACATCGTGTGTGTGTGTGTGTGTGTGCATACAGGCCCATATATGCTCAGAATCAGCTTTCAGATGAATAAAAAAATATTGTTTTTAATGAAAGACTTGTCTCTGAGAATAAGTTACTTGTATGAGGATTTAAATTACGGAGAGGCATCGTAAGTCTTGACACTTTAAGAGACAAAGTCAACAGTCATCTATCTTCCTGTGATATTTACATTTAAACTATTACTCTGCAGTGAAGGCTGGAGGAGGTCCTCCTAAGGCTGGCAGGAAAGCTCCCAGCAATGGGACCATTTTCCCTCCAAAGAGTATTCTATTTCAGACATAAGACTAAACTGAAAGACCCACACAGTGACAGTAAACAATCTACAATAATAGATGGTCAAAATAACACAAAAATTTTGTTTTCAATACAAGAAAAAAGATAGTCTTCATGGCCATCTGTCCCAAAAGTTGCAAGGATTACTGATCTAGAATCGAGGAGGCCAGCCTTCAAATGGTTCTGATGGAAGGAAGTACCTTGAAGCTAATATGTCAGCACGGGCAATTGGACCGCCTGTTTCCTCAGTGTCACATACACCCTTCTTTATATCACACGTCAAAATACAGTATTCCGGGTGGCTAACCTTTGTCAGATTTCAACTCCACTTTCCCCAGCTGGCTGACATAAACATCTATGGCACCCTGATGAGTTGAGGCTTTCAGACATCCTGCGGATGAATCTGGGAGGAAGAAAAAAAATGTAAGTATAATTAGTCTTACTTGAGTAAGTAGAATTATACACTTAAAAGGTTCTGCTTTGACATTAGAATACAAAGCTAAGAATCTTGCAAGGTTTCATGTTTTCCTTGTAACAATGGCATCATTTTCATTAAAATGTAAAGTGTCAGAAATGTAGACATCTACACCAAGACACTTAATGAAAAAACCCTTTATCTAGGTAGTCTGAATAATTTATCTCTGATCATTAACTCTAAAACCTAATCAGTAGAAGGACAGTATGCAAGCAATGGGCCCTCGCTAGCACTGAGTATCACTGGTGTGTTCTGTTTACTGTCAGATTGGTATGATGCCTCCACGTAAGGGCTGTCGAATTGCCCAGGGTGATAGGAAGGGATGAAGGGAAGAACCCTTGGAAGAGTGGAGCTTGTTTTTATCTGTAACTTCTTTTCAAGCTTCTTGAAGGGCCTAGGTAGGGATCTTAGGTCAGGCTGAGAAATAAGGTGGTCCTGATAACCAAGGCAGTCCTGATCCGACTTTCAAACTTCCACATTGTTAACTGACCGACTTTCCAATCACCAACACTTTTACTCAAGAGGAAATGGTCGGAGTCAGAGGTAAACAAGAGACAGTGAGGAAGGAGTCAGTGCTCAGTGGCTTCTCCCATGGCAACTGAACCTTCCACTTCATATTTTATCCTGTCCTGGAAAGGCCAAAGCATGTTCTTTTTAAAGAAACCCGTGTAAAAGCTTTTTTGGAGGGCAGTGCTAAGAGCGAAGCAAGGGTCAGGCACATACCAGGAAATGACTGCACCACTGAGGTCACCTCCAGCTCTAAAAAGTGCATTTTATTGGGAGCCTTGTGACTTCACAGAAGGGGCAAAGAAAGGAGTATGGTGAAAATTGTGCCAAAAGTGATAACTTTTGCAAAATAGAGAAATACAATCTTTGTTTATCTACAAGGAGCCAACATTTTTCTTTAGAAACATTTAAATGACTCCAAACAAATAGAGTGACTTTAGAATAAACTGTTCAAAATCTAGCACCAACAACATTTATAATAATCTATTTCCTATTTATATCAAAAGGTCCCAATTTACATAGTTCTCAGTGTCAAAAGTAAACACTGTGGGGAATGAAGCTGCTAGATAGATGACAGAGAGTAGCTGGACAAAGTGGCTATTTTGTTCCTGAGGTGCCAACAGAAACTACTTTTAGAATGTCTTACTGCATCTGAAAAGAAGCCAAGTAAAAGCACATTAAATAAAAAAAGTGGACCGCATAAGGTGTGTGTTAGCCCAGGTTGTACAAAGTAAAATATGTGAAATGCTAGTTTGGTTTTTCTTATTTTCTCGGGGCACGAGGAGATAATAAGATTTTTACGTGGCTCATAAATACTCTCACCTCCTTCCCTTCTGGAAAATAAACATCAACCAAATAATTACATCCTAAGCTGCAAAGTAATTATATTTTAAATTTAATTCGCATTTTGTCAGTCTTGAGCTCTGATACGGGCTGGAGGCTGTTAAAAAATTAAAACTCCAGATACGTTTGGGAGACAGAAATCAGAACTGATATTTAAAGGTTATGCAGCAAAATAAACCCTAATTTTTCTTGTTTTCTGTTTTCTTGTTTTTTATTGGAACTAAAATTAATTCTCAAAAGTAAAATTAAGGCATACTGCACAGATTTTCATTTTTTGAAGATTCACAGAGTAGAGAAATTCTATAGATCTTGGAGACAGCCTTAAGAAAAATACACAAGTAAAGAGCAGTTGTTAGTCCAGACATTGGTAGGAATGAGTAGCCTCCCATGCAGAATTATCCATTATGACAAAAGATGGGCAAAGATCTTGTTAGTCTGAGAGAAACGATTGAGTTGTCCAGGAAAATTAACATCTACAAAAGGGAAATACTAATGTCAGTCACCAGCCCAACACTACATACATCCAAAAAGCCCAGACATTTGTAATGTACGTTGTTAACAGAAGAAAAGTAACAGGGATGCCAGAATGGCTGAAGTTCCAAACGTTGCTATTTTCCTTTAGGTAAATACAGAACCCTCAAAATTCAAGCACGTTCAGAGTTAATTTTTATAATTTTGTCTCAAGTTTTGAAATACAATGGGCAACACAAAAGATATTTTTTGATTTCTGCAGCCTGATTCATACACTTTCAAAGTTATGCTATTGGAAGAAGAGGGACATGTTTTATGTATGGGACATAAGAGTTTGAAAGGGCAGAAATAGTTTTGAATTTCTACTAGTACTCCTTTGCAGTCCGTCCTGATTCCATTCATGGCGTGGAGTGGTCCATACACGTGACACATCTGCGTTTTTTCTCATCCCCTTTCCCACCCCTGCCTCCGCCTCTTGGTTCCCTTCCCATCTGCGAAATATCTACCTCCTTGGTTCTTATTATGTCTTTTATTTTAATCTTTAATTATTTACACTTTGGGTTTTTCATATAAGAGAAGCCATGTAATATTTAAGCTTTTCTCAATGATTTATTTCACTTAAAATTATGGTCTCCAGGTGCTACTATTTTCCTACAACTGACTCAAATTTATCATCTATAGCAGAGTAGTACTCCACTATATAAAAAAATGTTCACATAGAAAAGGATTCTAGATTCTAAAACCACTGTCATAAGAAACCAGCAAATTTAGTGAGGTTCAAGATATAAGGTCTATATATTTTTAAAGTTGTATTTTCACATATTATCAGCAATTAGAAAATAAAAATTTTCAAAATTCTATTGGTAATGTCAAAAACATGTATAAACTTAACAAATGATGTGCCAGACTGCTACACTGAAAGTTACAAAATAAGGGTGAGGGAAATTATAGAAGATCTAAATAAATGGACAGTTACAGTATTTTCATGAGCAGAAGACTCAGTATTGCTGAGGGATCAGTTCCCTCCAAACTGATCTAGGGATCCAGTGACTCAGTGCAAACCTAAAAATAATCTCAAGTGCATTTTTGGTAGAAAATCACAGGCCTACAATATCCAAATCAATATTAAAAGAACAAATTTGAAAGAGTTCAACAACCTGATTGAGAGACTTACTATATAAAGCTGCAATAATCAAGATACTGTGGCTCAGCAAATAACTCAATGAACAGAAGCAAGAAATCAATAACAGATTGATACTTATACAGTCATTTGTTTGTAGAAAAAGATCCTGAGAAAGGAAGTTTTTCCAACTAATGGTGATGTAACAACTTGCTATCCATATGGGAAAAAATAAATCTTGACTCCGAACTCAAACAAAAATTAGAAATAGACCAAAGGTAAGAGCAAAAATTTTAAACCTGCTAGAAGAAAACAGAAGAATGTCTTCATGAATGAAGATAGATAAAAGATTTCTTAAGATCTATAAAACCAAAGGGCAATTTATACTTCATCAAAATTAAAATCATCTCATCAAAATACACCGTTAAGAAAATGAACAGGCACCTGAATATGGTGGTACATGCCTGTAGTCCCAGCTATTCAGGAGCCCGAGGCAGGAGGATTACAATGGTAAGGCCAAACTGGGAGACTTAGTGAGATCTTATTTCATAATGAAAATTAAAAAAAGGGCTAGGAATATATCTCGGTGGCAGAGTGCATTTAGTCACCAGTACTACAATAAAAAGAAAAGAAGGAAAACAAGAATATAGACAAAGTGAAAATATTAACAAACAGTAACTGACAAAGAACTTGTATTTACCATATATAAAGAATTGCTGCAACTCAATAAAAATACAAATAACTCAACTGAAAAATAGATAAAAGATACAAGCAAAAACTTCACAAAGAAAGATATATTAATGACCAATAAATATATGCCACAGTATAGGCAGGACATCATCATACATTAAGGAAATATAAGTTAATACCAGACAGAATGGGTAAATCTTAAAAGACTGACCCAAATAAATGTTGGTGAGGATGTGGAGCAGGTAGAATTCTCATTCACTGGTGAGAAGATTTTAAAAGGGAACTTTAGGGAAAGGTCTGTTCGTTTATCATCAGACTAAATACACACTTACCTCTTCAACCTAGTGATTCCTTTCTGGGATATTTACCCATAAATATATATGGATAGATATCCCCCCAGAAAGATAAACAGACATGTATGAGAATGTTTACAACAACTTCATGTACAGTTGGCAAAAATTAGGAACACCTCAAATGTCCATCAACAGGACGGAGGATAAATAAATTAAGCTTTTCAGTGGCCTGCTTTCATTTCTGTACACTTCCATTACATTATAAAATAACAGGTTTTCCTTTTAAAATATAAATGATACATAAGTCCCTTGCTAACGCCCTGCTGTCCTCGGAACACAGCCCCTCTCCTGCCATGTCTACAAGGTGCAGCTCCCACCACTGGCCCCACAAGCCTTCCTCCCACAGCTTGGAAACTACGCCCTCACTCCACTGCGAAGCCTGCACTTGCTGTTCCTGTGTGTGGGAGCTCTGTACGCAGAATCCAACAGCCTCTTCGCCATTATTCTGGCCTTAGTTCAGTGTCCCCTGCCCAGGCCCTTCCTGATTGGCTAACTGAAGGCACCCAGGCAATCTCTGTTCTCTTACCCTCCTCTGTGTCTTCCCTGCACTTATCCCAATCTGAAGTTACCTCCTGTTACTTACATGTTACTGTGTTTCTTCCCAGGACTCAGAGAGGCCAAGGCCTCTGAGCACAGCCTATATCCTGCTGAGCAATATATTCCTTAGAACCGGAAAGAACTTCTAACAGGCACTAATAAATACACATTAACTAATCAGTTGCTAGCATGCTCAGGTTTGTCTTCCAACATTAACTCGGGGTCATATATGCAGTGACACAATTTACATTTTTCTGTTTTTCAAAGCCTTAATCTAGATATTTGAAAGAATGCAAAGCATTTGTTCCATTTCTTAACACTAAGTCAGGTCATTTTGAGGGGACATTCTCATAGTTTGGATCTAACTGTATTAGACTAGCATGTCAGGATCCTGTCAGCCTCATCAGCTGAACTGTAGACTTTGAAATAAGCAGGACAAATGGAGCTATGGTGAGAAGCGGGCAGAATTTACCACGAGTGTCTTACATACCTACTGTGATGTTACCCGTCTTACTTTGTAATGTTATATCACCTGTAAAAGAGAGAAAAAGAAAAGATAATTTTATACATAAGGGATCACTGAGAAAGGAACTGTTGCACAGAATCCTAAAATGTGGTTGGATACCTACAGTGTTACCTATTAACACTATTACTTTCGTTGGGCATTTCTGTTAATGTCTCAAACCCTGTCAGAGTTTTACTTGCAGTTCTGAAATTACTCGCTTTTGGCATCTGTGCAAACTGTTCCTCCATGCTCAGGCCCTCAGCTTTTAGGGTATAACTACAAAACAAACCAGCACACTTCCTGGCAAACATGGAGGAAAAATAATGATCCCTCTAAGCCCACAAAAAAGTATTTGCTACATACACACTTTCACCCTAAACATTAACGTATTTATCAGAACAAAGGCAAGTTTTGAGCCAAGTAACACTAAAATAGTGACTGGAAAAAATAATTACTTTTATTTTTCAGACCAGTTGCCTTGTCTGTTTGTTAGATTAATGCAGTTTCTGGCCCAAGAGCTGAAGTAGTTTGGGGTAAGAGTGATGAATCCATGAAGATATAATTAAAAAAAAAAAACAACTTTATAGCCTTTCAATGAAAATGTATTTCCAGATAGAGTATTGCAATCATTCTTCCAAACCCCCTTACAATAATACCCCAGATACTAGCACTTTCCATCCTATGTATTTTGGTGCATATATATGTGTATGTGTGTCTAATATATGTATGTATATATAGTGCATATAGATGTGTTTGTGTGTGTATATATATATATATATAGTGAATATATATGTGTGAGTGTGTATATATATATATGCAATACTGAAACTCACTGTTGCTCAAGCAAAGATGGCAGCAGTAATATTACCCACATAATTTCAAAACTACATGCAAAAGGAATAATGTTGGTTTAAAACTGTAATGTCTCAAACCCGGTCAGAGTTTTACTTGCAGTTCTGAAATTACTTGCTTTTGGCATCTATGCAAACTCTCTTCCTCCATGCTCCATTTAGGACAATCTCATTTCATATATTTTGCAAATACTGATATGTACCAATATCTGGAACAAAGCAAAAGAGGCACTTGATTCAAACAAATAGCCTGGCTGAAAACTCTTTCTGAAGGCCTAACATTCGAGAACACTTTATGTGAATGTATGAACAAAAGGTACATTTGTGTAGGAATAAAAACATGGTTTGTATGCAGAAGCTCATAAAATGGTTTTCAGGTCTCAGTAAGTTACAAGGCTGGGAAAATCTTGTTAAATGTGTTAAGTAAATATTGTTTCATTGGTGTGTTCTGTGGACTCTTTTCCAATTTTCAAACCCAGTAAATATAGATTCCCCATCACACGTGAATTGTAGCCAAAGGGCATGCAGCTTCCAAGATGGCGTCCAGTGATGCTGTCTCCTGGCCTTCAGGCCCTGGTACTCCATTCTTCCCTCATGTGTAGACTGGGCCTTAGTGACTTGCTTTTAACAAAGGAAACTGAAACAAAGTCATGGGGTGTCACTTCCAAAATTCGGTTCCAAAACACTCTGGTTTCTGCCTTTCTAGTCGTCTCCTGTTCTTATTGAAGCCAGCTGCCATGTTGTGACTGTGCCATGGAAGAGGCTCCTCTGGCAGGAGGGCCTGGCCAAGAACTCAGAAAGGACTCCTGCCAACAGCCACACCAGTGCACACCACAGATGAAGCAGATTCTCCCCTGGTTGAACATTCATATGAGCCTACAGCCCTGGCTGCTGCCTGACAACAGATCTGCCAGAGATCTGGAGGCAGAAGGCCCTGCCGAGCCCCACCCAGATGCCTGATCCACTCACTAAGACAGTGTTTGTGTTTGTAACTGCTATGCTCTGGGATGATTTGTGGCAGAAGAATAAGTAGCTCGTACAAATGCTGATACCTGAATGGAGTGCTGTCATAATAAACATCTTAAAATGTGGGATTCGCTTCACAGCTTGGCCGGGGCAGAGGTTGGAGGGATTTTGAAGAGCATGTTTGAGAAAGCCTAAGTTTCCTTGAACTGAGTTAATAGAAATCTGGAGCTTCAGAGGCTTCCCGTGAGGATTCAAAAGGAGCAAAGAAAATGTTTCTTAAAACTGAAGGAAGGAAAATCCTTGTAAGTAGAAGCAGAAACTGTGCAACACTATCCACCCCGGTAATGTGGAAAACAGGAAATGTGCTTCATGCACAGAACATAAGAGGATTTCTAAGCAAAGTCCAAGTGTTGTAGGTGCTGGCTATTTGTTTTTTGTTACTGCTTGAGGTAAAAAAGCAAGAATGGAGAGAGAGGAGAGAGACAGAAAGACTAAAACCAAAGGAATGACTGCTAACACAAAAAGAGCCTGGGCTTCAAAGCCCCTCAGTCTCTCAAGAGGCAAGACACTGAAGTTAAGAACTGCCTCCAAACAAAATCTGAATCCATGACACTCTGAGAACACGGCCTCAAAACGAGGCTGCAGGTGACTGAACCTTTCGTTGAGACCCCAGCAAGGGCATCTCACAGTATTAATCAGTCACACACAAAGGTCTTTGGAAAGATTAAGGATGTACCTTACAGATGCGCTCAACCGAATGTGCCTCCGGGAGGCTTGACCTTGCTGTACCTGACATCTCTGCAGAAACCCATATTTTTGGAGAGCTTGGGTGTAGCTTTTGTCTACTTGAATAAATCCCAATTCATAAAAGGCTGACAAAGTTTTGGGGAGAACTCTATCAGCAAACATAGCCATTGTGGATGGAAGGATGCGAGTGCACAGCGTGAAAAGAGACCACCACTGTAAAGCAAGACCCTCACCCCTCCCCAGGTGTGGGCTCCTCTGCATGTGGCCTTTTCTCTTTCCATTTCTCTGTGTGTCGTGACACAGCCAGGTGGCCCTCAGCAAAGCAGCAGTATTGTGCTGCTTGGAGCCTCAGCCACCAGAATCCAGAGGCAGGTTATGGAAAGCAACCACTGCAGTCACACTCAGTATCGATGCTTCCAAGGGTACTTTTTAGCACCAAAGACTACCAGTGGTCAAGTCATAGTTCACAAGTGGAAGACTTGTCTACAACCACGATCAACGACCCCTTTAGCAAATGAAATTATTATTGACAGTGGACAACTGGGAATCTACAATGGTGTTGAAACTCTGGATTGTGGATGGCTGAAAGGTCAGGCAGAAATAAGATTACATTTGCATTATTCTGAAAACCTCCAGTCTCAATAACCAAGAAAAGATTTCTAAAAATGTAGACTTAGGGTAAACCTTACACTAGAGTGTCTGGAGGAAGAGGATGGTGATAGGGTATCTCCCACTGTTCTTCACAAAATGTCCAATACCCTGGAGACAACCTTGATAAGCGACAATGCATTCAAGTGCAGGCATTCACAGCAGGAGTGTGGGTATGGCTCACAGCCTGATCGCTGGACTGAGTACAGCATACAGACTATGGAACCATATAACCTAGAATTAATCTTTGATTTTTTTTGAGGAGGATCTCCATGAACATGTAGTTCAAGGTGGTGCCTTCCCACGACATGCGGGCACAGCGTGCCCCTTATCATCCACCATTGCTGAGAGTGGGCAGAGTGCCAGGGTCCTTACACTTCCCATCATGAGCAGGAATTCCAGGGAAACCATAGGCAAAGTGGGAATTGACTTTATCATCATTAAGCCATTACCAGGATACAATTGTGACATGAAATCTTCGCTTTCCAAGTAATGGAAGCCAAGAATTCCACTGGATGTTGGACATCGAGGTGCAGGGAACTCAACAACAACTGCCCAGCTGGCTAAGGTTCAACAAAATACTACTGCTTTTTAAAGAAATGCTGCTACTCATGGTGCAGCTTTTGTAGAACTTGATGTCCATTTTTCAAAAGACTTTGTGCTGTGGTGTATCATGATCTTACCTGTTATTTGACCATGAGAAAGCAATGTGACGCTGATCCAGTTGAATTATTTGAAATTCCAGTAAAAGAACTAACATTTGACCAACTCCAGTTGTTAAAGCTTTCTCATGTGTCTGCACTAAAATCTAAAGATCAGAAAGAATCTGTAGTTGAGGGAGAAAATTCCCTTTCTGAAAACTAACCATTTCCTCTCTTAAGATGGTTTTAGAGTCTTTGCCAGAAGATGTGGCGTTTAATATAGAAATAAAGTAGATCTGCCAACAAAGGGATGGAATGTCAGATTGTAACTTGTCAACATATCTTGACATGAATCTGTTTTTGGATATAATTCTTTAAAAATGTTTTAGAAAACTCTGGGAAGAGCAGAATTGTGTTTTTGATGCAGATGTTTGTACAATGGTTTGACAAGAGCAGAACAAATATATTATTTTTGACTCGGGGAAAATCTGATATTTACCCTGAACTTATGGACCTCAGATGTCAGACCACCCTCACTGCAATGAGCTTTGCCGAATGTGGAAATCTTCTGGGGGATAAATGCATGTACTGAAGACCTGCTCAGAAACCTGTCCTATATTCAGGAGGCAGAAGCTAAGGGCTTCGTCATATTCTGCTGGGGCGATGACACCAATGATCCTGACAAGAGAAGGAAATTGAAGGATTTGGAGTTAATGGTCTAATTTATGATAGGATATATGACTGGATGCCTGAACAGCCAAATGTATTCCAAGTGGAGCAGTTGGAGCACCTGAAGCAAGAATTACCAGAGCTGAAGAGCTGCTTGTGTCCCACTGTTAGCCGCTTTGCCCCCTCATCCCTATGTGGGGATCCTGACAACTACAGGATGCCAATGGCACTGATAATGTGGAGAGCAATTAGATCACTCAGGGCATGCACTGCTGTTCTGGGTGTCCATTTTTCATCACTGAGCATTATTTATCTCTGCCTTTTGGGTTTCTCTGTCCAATGAAGCAATAATGAAGTATTTTACTCTTCACTACAATTCTTGCAAGAATTTCAAGTATGCTATTTAAATCACTCGGCCAGGTACAACTGCCAGTCAGTGTCTGTACAATGAGAAAACTTACTGGTTGGTAAATATCTTTAAATATATAAGCCTATAATGTTAAAC